CCCCCAATACACCACCAACCCTCTTCCCCATCCGCCTTCCTCCTCCACCCCGGTCTCATTTTGCCTTCTTTTCTCCACCGTGCTGCTCCACCTTCATTACACTGTGTTGTTCTGAGCTCCCTCTCGTGCACCGGGCTCCTTTTTCAAACTGATGGCTGTTGTCACTTTTAACCTAAACCTGTATTCTATCAAGCCTCACCTCTTTCAAATGACCTTTTTTCCACTGAGGCTTCCAGAGATGGTTGAGTTTTTTTACATCTGCTGTCATAAAATGTGGACAATTGTGCATTATTTTTTGTAAGAGCATGTTTGTGAAGCAATGGACAAATATTGAAGAAACTCTCAGTAAATGATCATTGACTTTATGTCTTAGCTCACTAGCTTGTTGCGTTTACTCAATCCAAGATGGCTACCACAGCTGATCAACCACAGCAAACATCATTGTGGCCTAAAGGCAATCAGTTTTACAGGTACTGAGCTAAAATTTGGTTCTAAAAACATGCTTTGAGCACCTGATAGTCACTCCCTCTGTCTGTTAGCAAAACATCTCATGAATCAAATGTATTCACTGGTTCATCTACAACTGTCTAGCAAATAAAGATAGCTGCCACCGATAATTATCACTAGCCAACACTGACAAAAATGACAATAACTCAGTCATTTTTACAAATATTGAGTTAATTTTGGCTTAATAATAGCTGACACTCATCCCACTACAAATAGCTAATTGACTGCACAACTAGCCACTTAAAAGTTTTGTTAAAAACTTTATTATGCTAGTCAAAAAGCAACAGGCATTCTTTCAATGAATTTTTGTTAGCAAAAGCACTGCAAAGGTCTAATGCTTTTCTAATGTTTTATTATTATTAATAATAATATTATTGTTATCCTGCCATTTTGGAGATCTAAATGTATTACCTCACTAAATTTACCCCAGATTATTCCCCAATTAAAATGGGTGTGGCCAAATGGCTCTACAGTTCCCCAAAACACGAGATAGACCAAATGGTGCATACAAGTCTCTTCTGCCCTAAACCTAAAAGAAAGTTGGCCATTGTGGAACTGGAACATATTTCAGCCGATTTGCACCCAGTTTGCTGTGATTGATCCTAATCTGCCACCAAACAGGAGTACAGTCCAATATTTGATGGGCGTGGCCTAATTCCTCCACAGCATCCTATAGAATCATTTTAAAAAATTAGCCTCAATCCATGCCTTGACCCAGAATCATGAAATTCGGTTCACTTGTGTAACGTATTAGGACCTGCAAAACTGTCTCTTGGAGCCATGGTCCAAACCCCACAGGAAGTCAGCCATTTTGGATCAAAGTCACTATTTTCTCTCTTTTACACACATATATGAGCCAACTCTACAGCTTCTAACATACAGACGTCACAATCACTCAGAACAGTCTTAAGACATTGGAGGTAAAAAGGTCTCAAAATCGTTCTTTTGAATCGAAGCATGTGGGCGTGGCCAAGCCTCAAACTTTGACCATTCACCATAAAACATCAAGGGGGAATATTACAGGGCCACAGCTGTATGACAATTTCAAGTGTCATAACAGACCAGCACTCATCACAATCAAGTGGTTAATTGGTGAGATCACTTTAGCCCCACCCTGTTACAACAGGAAGTCACTTTTGCTACTAGATGTCTTCCTTTAACCCGTTGACTCTGCGATTTCAACCTGCGTCTCGTGACACAGAACAAGGTGTTTTATACCATAATTATTTTATGAGTGGAAGAAATAAAGTTCTGTTCTGGTCAAACTTTATATAAAAAGAAAAAATGAAAGAAAGAAATATAAATTTAAAGATTTGTAAAATTATGATGGTGTGACGATAGGCTGTATTTAGAAATAGTCTCTGTCTGACTGTAATAAACATGTTTATTGTTGTCCCTGATGGTTTAATTATAAGGAATTAAATAAGTAATAATTGATAACTAATGGTGAAGGGGGTGAGATTAAGCAGTTTTGTATTTCTTCCCACTCCTTTTCGACATGTGACCTAAAGAAAAGGTGTAGTGATACTTGTGCACTTTTTAATTTATGTATTTTTTTCTTTTCCTTTTGTTTCACTTTACTTAATGGCCTGTTTATGACAGTTTAAATAAACCAACATTTTTGCCAGTTTTCTCCTCCTTATTGGCACTGGTTGCTGACTGCTCACCCTGTTTGACCCTTGATGGGTTTTGACATCATTTTGTGGGACTCGACATAGAACTCGTGCTGCAGCCTGACGATCTCATCCTTTGTAAAGTCTTTCTACCACAGGGCTTCTGTTAGAGGACAAGTTATCTTCACCTCTTCAAACATAGAAGGAAAAAAGGCATCTGCCTGTTAGATTTTCACATTTCTTCCCGTGAATTGCCTTTTGAATTATCTCCTTTTTTGCATATCTGTCTGTGTTTTGATTGTAACATTTAAGCATAACATTTGAATGACATTTTCTTGGATGGACTGAAAAGATTTATGTTATTATTTTATTATTTTTCTAGGGTTTAAAAAAAACACCACTCTCACAAAAACATGAAAATTGTTAACCAGTGTTAAAACTGGAATGGAAAAAAAAGCATGTGATGTGAAAACAGTTTCTCTTCGTACTGTCTGTTTTACTGAAGACCACCGGGGACGCCAATATGGCAGGTGCGGACAGGAAAACCTAATCAGGATGAGGAAAATGTACGAGGAACATCGAGGAGGGTGTAAAAACCAGATGAGGTGAAAGTGGGAGGAAAGGGAAGAGGTGGAGGAATACAAGGAAACAAACGGGAGAGAAGGGGAGGAAGTAAAAAAAACCCAGTGTCTCCAGTTGTATCGGAGCAGCGGTGTGTGAAAACACACACTCTGCACTCCTGTCGCCTTGCTGCTTAATGAGGAAAGCCTCTCAGGGATAGCACACAAAAACACTGAGAACACACACACACACACACACACACACACACACACACACACACACACTCGCACACACTCATGCAGAGAAAGAACAATTAACATTTTCTGAGACCTGCAGAACCAGAACCACCTCTGCTGGGCCTGAAACATCTCAGCTCCAGAGCTGACTGGAGTTTAGTGCTGCATCAGCTGTCCCAGTGCCAACACTAACAACACACACACACACACACACACACA